AGGGTGAATACATCTCATTACACTGATTTACTGGTAGTCTCGAAACCCTACTCAAATACGACTATAAGTTGACAATCCTTTCCAAGCAACTTTAACATGTAATGGGATTATTCGAAACCCCACTTTTCTTCATATACCCTCCCTAATTGACCAGATCCGGATCCTGATACGAAAGTAGATCTGATCGGAAAACTATGACGAACTCTTCTTGACCATCTTGGGGTTGGCTTTACTGGGACCATCTGGTTAATGCTGTCCTCGAGCCAAATAAAGCTCATTCTGTAATAAAAGGGACAAGAACTTGGCACCTCTTCGCCGATATCGAAGGAAATTGCCTCGAGGACAACCTCAAACAGAATATTCCAATAAAGCCAACTAACGGCTGGCCAAGAATAATCTGCCGGTGGGATTCACTCTCGGATCGCTTAATCACACACTTTCACTCGGAATGGAGGGCAGCTCACAAAAACAGGCTTTTTGTGGACACTTTCATTTCGTATAGAAGTGTTTGACGAAGGCGACGGGTGATTCACGTTGTTCTGCTGCCATTTGTCTTTACTATGGCATTCAGTTGGATGTTGTCTATGAAACATCCTCCCTCGCTTCAGACGATAATCGGTTGAGCCTTCTTCCGTCCTGCCATACGACAGGAAATGTCGATGCAAAAACTTCATTTTAACACTAAGTCAAGAAGATTAGCCAGCTATACCTTTCATTTTATGTATATTACATCCAAAGTCGAAAAAAATGTATAGATAAATAGATGAAAATAAACAAATAAATAAATATAGACATATATATAGTGTGTGTGTGTGTGTGTTAGCGTTTATGCGTGACTAACTCAGAGTAAAAAATGCCCATTACAACTTGGAGCAATTCCAATGGAATTGGGTGATAAAGGACTGATGGTTGAATTTTCCCAATCTGGATGTGAATTACTTTTGGGAAGCAAGGCTATGCGAATCGAAATGGAAACGTGAGGCGAACTCAACTCAAATGCCAGTCTTTCATCACCTTGACAGAATATATCCTTATTTTTTTACTACAACTGTAAACTCCAGTAGGAAAGGTGAACACTTCTAGAACATTCGAAGCTGCGAACATTCCATACTCTTTGACTTGTGTCGGCCAAACCAATTCCATCCATCGCATCGAACCTATTTCTTTAATTAATCAGAAGGTGGTACTCAAAGTGTGCGGAGATAATTTTAGCAGAGGACGCTGAAATCGACCACTCGCTGCAGTTTTTCCCATCACTCTTCATTTACACGAAACTTTGTTGCGCTGTTTTCTTTCTCTAATCAGTCCGGGAAGATGTGCATTGTTGGTAGTATTGTTGTGGGGGCTCGCATTTTGTATAAAAGTTCGCAAAGAAGATATTCAAAGTTCGATCTCATCAGGCGACAGTTGATGCCTGTTCGGCTTTAATACGATGTTCAGGTTGACGCAGTCTACGTTTTGAGTGAAAACGGGTTCAGTTTTCGTCCATCACATGATGGAGGTCATCAGAGTTGGAATTCATGCTTGTAAAAGTCACATGTTAGTACTAGGTCAAGAAGACCGCGTTAACCCTTTGTTAAAGTGAGACTTTTGGAAGAATGAGTTCCAGCTCTAATGTTGTCCTTCATATGCTAGACAAAAGCTCAGCTCGTTTTCACTCGAAACTAGGCAGGATGTCTCCTGGGCTACGTCAACCTGACTGCCGCGTTAAAGTCAAACGTCTGCACAGTACAACCGGAATCAGCCGTAGTCGTCTGATGAGTTCGAGCTTCGCATCG